AGGAAGACGAAGATGAGGGGGAAGAAGAAGAGGAGGAATGGGAAGAGGAGGCTATTGAGGGTGTGGATGACGATGAGGATTTGGAAGAGGACGATGTGGATAAGTCAACGACAACTTCCGTAGACCTGAGTGAAAGTTGCTGTCTGGCCGGTGGTGAAGAATTTGCAGATTCCTCCTTTGGCCTAAACTTGAGCGCATCTTTTCGACGTCTCTATCATCGTCTGTTCGACAGCATACCAGAGGAAATGGAGGAACCTGACAGTACATGTAAGTAGGCAATTATTGATAGGAAGTAGTGGCGGTTTAAAAGGGAAAATTATAATGGATTTATAGAGGCGGGTTGACCTCATTTTTGCAACTTGGTCTTGTTGTCAGGGGGACTTAGTTGAACGCACCTTGTCCGAAGTTCTCTATCATAGTAGTTATGATAATTCCCTACATCAGATCGTGGATTTGGTACATTCTCAGACGTTTCACCGACATCGTAGTCACCATGCTACAAACTCGTCAAAGAGACGAGTTATGTCAATCCCTCGACCAATGTCCTGCCGAAACGGTTACACTATTACTCATCTTTCTGCCATGGTCCATCTATCCACTCCTTACTCTCTTATCAAACTTTCGCCATTTCACAACTTTTGACTTCTTTACATTCCACTCGTGCCCTTTTTTTGGCAAATTTAATGTGAATATGAGATGTATTTACCCAATTCTATTTAAGGTGATAAAGGACTGGTAGAAGAATTTTCCCACAATGATATGAGTAGAGCTGACGTTTTCATTGAATTTTACACAGCCTTGCTTTCCTAGAAGTTGTTCTGATCCAGGCTGAGGTGACTGCAGTTTCGACCTCGCATTGGTCTTATCAACACCCCTAGCGGGAGTCGAACCGTGACAGTGCAGAATGGGAGCTTGACACGCTAACCACTCGGTCCCATTGCACGAGTGCCCTTGGGTTACAGGTCTGGAAACAATACGTAAAATGCGAAAAATAAGTAGCGTAGTCGATTGTTATAGCAAATATACGTTTGCTTCATCGACAATCCCACCAAAAAATATGATATGACAAAAGGCCTGGCCTTCCTTGAAATTAACATTTTTCCTCTGACCCAAGGAGACTCGTGGCAATGTGGTCGAGTGGTTAACGTGTCAAGCTCCCATTCTGCATTGTCACAGTTCGACTCCCGCTGGGGGTGCTGAAAAGACCGATGCAAGGTCGAAACTGCAGTCCACTGGTGCCTGGATGAGAACAACTTTTGGGAAAGCAAGGC